TGATTCTTTATCTCGTATTTTTGACCTATCCGAACGCCCGGTTACTCCCGAGTGTATTTTGCCTGAGACATTAGTAGTCTCCACTCTCAGATGGGAGGTCGAATCGAAGGTCATGAAGGCCTTAGAAGGGGTAACGCCTCCGCCCGATTGCCCACTGAATCGTTTATTTGTGCCAGAAGAGTTTCGGTCCGACGTCATCCGGTGGGGTCATTGCTCCAGTGTAGCTTGTCATCCTGGGGTCAATCGCACCAGTTTTTTTGGTCAAGCAACGATTCTGGTGGCCATTGATGGCTCGTGACATCCACAGTTTTGTGTTGGCTTGCTCGGACTGTGCCACTGGTAAGACTTCCAATCGACCCCCAGATGGGTTACTCCAACCGCTGTCTGTCCCTTCGAGACCCTGGTCCCACATTGCGCTAGATTTTATTACCGCCCTACCGCCCTTCCAGGGTAAGACGGTCGTTTTGACCGTCATGGACCGGTTCTCAAAGGCGGCCCATTTTATTCCCTTGCCTAAATTACCCTCCGCCAAGGAGACAGCGGTAGCTGTCATAGACCACGTCTTTCGCTTACATGGCCTCCCGACGGACGTGGTCTCCGACAGGGGTCCCCAATTTGTGTCCAAATTTTGGCAAGAGTTTTGTAAGTTACTGGGGGCGACTGTCAGTCTTTCTTCGGGTTTTCACCCCCAAAGCAATGGTCAGACCGAGAGAGCCAACCAGGATTTGGAGAGAGTGTTGCGATGTCTGGTTTCCAGGAATCCTTCCTCCTGGAGTCAGCAACTCTCTATGGTGGAGTACGCCCACAATTCATTACCAGTTTCAGCCACGGGCCTCACTCCGTTTGAAGGTAGCATAGGTTACCAGCCACCAGTTTTTGCTAGTACGGAATCCGAGGTCGCGGCCCCCTCCGCTCACGCCTTCGTCCAGAGGTGTCTCCACACATGGAAAAGAGCCCGTGAGACTCTTCTCCAGGTGAGGGCGCGCACCAAGGCTAAAGCCGATCGCCACCGGTCGAAGCCTCCCGTATACGTCGTGGGTCAAAAAGTGTGGCTTTCTACTAAGAACATTCCTCTCCGATCCGTATCTAATAAACTTGCTCCCAAATTTATTGGCCCGTTCCCTGTCACCAAGATCATTAGTCCGGTGGCAGTCCACCTCAAACTTCCTCCTGCGTACAGGAGAATTCATCCCGCCTTCCATGTATCTAAGATCAAACCTGTGTTTCATTCACGAATTAATCCGCCGGTCCCGCAGTTGAGAGTGACGCTGCTTCCCACAGACACCAGATTCACGGATGGACTCTGAGTCAGAATGATCTCAGCAAAACAACCTGCCATCACAGCACATCAGTCAGTGTTACAGTCAAACACACAATACATGAGAAGAATGACACAACATTTATAAAGCACTTCTGAAAAAGCTCTGAATGTTCAACACTAATCTCACCAGCGAGAGAAAGCAGTAGAGAGCAGATAATCAGAGCGTTTGCAGTCATCTTTGCTGAGAATGAGTGAGAACAGACGAGACCTGCTGTTTACAGTCCTGACCGGCGGACAGTCCGTCTTAAACAAAGGGGTGTTGCACATATTCAAAGCTGCTTCCTTCCACGAGGAAATCCGACACATTGATTTAAATAAATATATTCAGTTTTAAAATATGTTTAATTTAATGCCTCTACTTAATTTATATCAGTATCAACTGATATTTCTCAAGAGTTTCCAAGAATATGATAATGATATCTAATAAACATTCAGTAGTTGACCATCAGTGAATCAAATGTAGTTTATATATATATATAAGTTATTTAAAAAAATTAAAAGTATGTATTATTTAATGACCTGAAATTGACACTAAACAGTAATTAACAGAAAGATGTTGTTTTGGAGATGCAGTGAACAGTGCAGCTACTGAAGCGTTCAGCAGGTTTTTGTACGTCTGCTCTATTAGTGTGGATCACTGTGGTACACTTTCGGCGGCGGCACCAGACTGGATGTTGGCAGTAAGTAAATATTTAAATCATTTTTATATACAATGTTGGCATATTTAGTCATTTTTGATAAAAAGATAAATGTTTTCCTGCATATTGGGTAAAACATTTCTATTTAATATGCAGTGTGTATTTCTTAATCCAGTTTCACATTTATGAGTCAATACTATAGACACACACTACAAAAGATATGTTAATACATTGTATAAAAAAATGTATAAAAATTATAATACATTTTCACAATTTTTTAAAAAAAGTGCAATTTAGGATACTTTACCAAAAAAAATGCAATTTATGTATCTTATAATATCTTATTTAAAAAAAAAAGTATTATTGCTCAGATTCAAATCAAATGCATTTAGTGCTTTTTTGACCCACTTAAGTAGTTCTTAAGTACTTTATGTCTTTATATTAAGTTGGCTACTTTAAGTATAATGTAATTTCATAATTGACAAGCATTTTTTGTAAACTAAAATATTTTTAAATGTAATTTATTGATTACAACATGAAGCTCTGCAATTCAATAGATTTCAATATATTAACTTTAAGTGTAATATAGAGTAACACACTACAGTAAAAATCAATCATATTTACATGTGCTTTAATTTCATTTCATTTTTCATTTATTTATTTATTTTACAGGGACAGTGCTCATTAATTAACAGTAAAATAACTGTAAATGAGCCAGAGTTAGCTCAACAGGCTAATTTGCATCTGTTGTCCCTGGCCAGTTATTATGATGGCAACCTAAAAACAAAATATAAAGCAAGAAATGTATTTCACAGTCCTCAAATTTAATATAGTCAACACATCAAAATAAGGATACTTTATTAAATGATTATTAAAATGATTATTAAAACATAATGATTTAAAGTAAAATCTTTCAATTACAATTCAACTTTTTAGAAGTCTGTTTAAGTGTGTTAAGAAACATGAAAGTGTACTCTATTTAAGTGCACTTAAGTGGCCTTTTATTTCATTAATTTTACATTATCTGCAAATACAGATTTGTTTAAAGTGCTCATTCCATAAAATTATATATTTCTTATTTTTTTTCACAAGAACTGAGAACACATTATAATAATCTTTCATCATACTGTACTTCACTCTTATTTGAATGTGTGCTTTTTGTATTGTGTTCATTTGTTACCCAGCAGGCATTACAAAAATATTATGTCTATGTAATTTTAGTTTGGAGGACTAAATTCATAATACTACTACTAATAATAATGAATTCATAATGTATTCGAATTCAAAATAGTTTAAAGTTGGAAAAAAAGCAGTTAGGCTATGCAATAGCTTAGTAACTCAATATGATTACATTTGATCTGGAAAAACATTCATCAAATATTACTTTGTTGGAACTGATGGTAATTAACACTGAAGCTGCTGTTGAGTGAGTTGTTTGTCTTGTTCTCTCAGGCAACACTCCTCCTAAAGTGACCATCCTGCCCCCGTCCAGTGCAGAGATCTCCTCTCTGAACACAGCGACACTGCTGTGTGTGGCCAGCGAGGGCTTGCCGTCAGACTGGAGCCTGAGCTGGAAGGTGGACGGCAGCAGCAGGGCTCAGGAGAGCAGCGCTGGGCTCCTGCAGAAGGACAATGCTCTGTACAGCTGGAGCAGCAGCCTGACTCTCTCTGAGCAGGAGTGGATGAAGAGCGTCTCAGTGAGCTGTGAGGCCACACGGAGCGGCCAGCCTGCAGTCACTGCACACCTGAGGAGAGATCAGTGTTCAGATCAGTAGATCTGCTCAGTCTCTCCTCTGGCTTCTGCTTCATCCTTCTGGCGGACGACGTGTCTCTTCTGCTTCTCTGACTTCATTCACACAAGAGCATATATGATGTTCTGTTATAACTGAAATAAAATCAATAATATTGTGTCTGCCTTTCAGTCCGTTTGTGTGATTTGAGAAAAAAGACAATTGATAGTTAGAGACACTAAAAAGGGGGTCCAAAATCCAAAAGAAATCTAAAATAAAGTCCTGGTTTCGCAGACAGGTCTTAGACTAAGCCAGGATTAGGCCTTAGTTCAATCAGGAAGTTTAAGTAGCTTTTATAAACGTGCCTTAGAAAAAAACTTTATGTACATCTTGAGAAAAAACAATGGCTCTGAAATATTTTAGGATTTGTCCGTGAAAGTTGCTTCCAGTTAAAACAGCTCAAGCATGCATTTCTAACATAGTCTCATCCCAAGTCGTCATATAACTGACGTCTTTTGACCATACGTCAACATCCATCTTTTTAGGGTACCCTTAAACGTCGGTTAGATGACGATCCCGGGCCGTCATTCAACTGACGCTTTACCTTTAACGTCAGTTAGGTGACTGGGGTAGGGTTAGGATCCGATAACGTTATCTAACCGACGTTTAAGGGTACCCTAAAGCGGCGGATGTTGACGTATGGTCAAAAGACGTCCCAAGACGTCAGTTATATGACTTCTGGCATTTCAGTCTGGAACTAATTTAAGCCTTGTTTTGTGACATCGGGGAAAAATATAAATATTAGTTGCTTACATGACAATTAGAAATGTTGCCTTCACCGCTTTACTGAAGTAGTTGAAGTATTAAACAAGATGATGAAGAAGGAGGATTATTATTTATTAAAACTACACTCTTAAAAATGCTGGGTTGTAAACCCAATTTTGGGCAAATATGGACAAACCCAGCAGTGAGTTGCATTTTTAAATGACATTTTTAACCCAATGTTTGAGTTTGTCCATATTTGACCCAAAATTGGGTTAAAACAACCCAGCATTTTTTAGAGCGTACAACTGAAATAAAAAAAGAAAACCATCTAGAATTCTTATTAATAATAAAAAAATACTAATTTATACTAAACATATCTAAAATTGATATTATTTATAATAAGAAATATGAAAATAAAAGCTAATTCAAACAATTAACAAACACTATAATCGAACATAACATTAAAAATATAAAGAATATAATAGGGTTAGGTTATTCTACTTGTGCAAAAGAAATTGTTTGCAAGCTTGTTTAAGAGTGATTTTTTTTACCAATAAGTCAGACTTAAATACAGCTTTATATGTATTTTCATAATTCTGTAGCCTTTGAATTGTCAAACTGCTGTTTTAATTTGTAGGTGACTGTAGTTTTGTGATGTGTGTGAGTCGCTCAGCTGTATCAGTGTAGCGTGACGGAGGTTTTTGTACGGCTCTTTATCACTGTGTGATTATTGCACCGGTGTGGTCGCTCTGACAGAAGTAATGTCCTGCGTCTTCAGACTGGACTCCACTGATGGTCAGGGTGAAGTCTGCTCCATGTCCACTCCCTGTGAATCTAGATGAAGCTCCAGGGAAGCGATAAGTAGCACGGGTTACGAGTACCTTAGGAGCTTCTCCAAATCTCCTGAAGTACCAAGCCATGTGGTCATTATTATGCACCGGCCTATTGGCTTTGCAGTTTATTCTCACGTCTGTTCCTGGTTGGGCTGATGTTATTGCCGGCGTCTGAGTGATGGTGACCTGTCCTCTGCACTCTAAAAGAGTCACATATACCATGAGATACCAAAGTATGAAACATGCTAGCATTACAGATCTAGTCTAGTTATACAAACCCTGATAAAATGCTGCAAGTATCGAGATAAAAATGATGATGAGAGCCATTGTTGTTCTGTAATGGTGAAGAAAACTCTTTCAAAGCACTCTTTAAAAGCGCTGAAGCATGTGCTGCTATATATGTACATTCTCATGATATGTAAAGCAGCATTTACTCTTTCCATTCTTGCACCCGGAAACAATTCAACCATACTAACATAACTAAAAAATTGCTATCACTCTTGGAAAAAAGGGTTCATTGGGGTTCTGAAGCATGGACTGTAAAAAAAAATCTGTTAAATTTACGGGAAAACTCCGGCAGCTTTGGTTACCAGAGTTTTCCTGTTAAAAGTACGGTAGGAACATTTTAGGTTTTACATACTTTGACCGTATTTAATTTTACAGCAATAAACCGTATTTCATTATTTGATATAATGTTAATTTACTGACATTTTGAAGAATTAATATCTGTTTTGTTCAATTGCAATACACCGACAGCCATCAAACACAACAATAATGAGAGTCAAATGATCAATCAAAGCTCATCATTATCAGCTCTTCAACAAGAAAGTTCATATAACTATATAGAAGCTGAACAGTCTCATTCACACAAACATTAAACACCATCATGGTAACATGGTGAAATTTTAAAAATGAAATAAGAATTAATTTAACAACGTTAAATGTAACATAAAACCATAATGAACATAACTGATTAAAAAAAAACTAAGAAAATTATGAATAAACAGTTAAAATACATTAAATGTGAAGTGTCTCAGAGGGAATTGTGGGAAAGTCAATTTACATTTTTTCACTGTAAATTATACAATGACTTCTTCTTTTTCACTTCCAAAAACTGTAAATTTAACAGTATTTTACAGTAAAACTACATTAAATGTCCCATTATCACAGTTATTTACCGTATATAGTAAGGAAACTTTCTGTTAACCAATTAACAGTTTTTCATTGTAGCATTTTTACAGTCTTTTACTGTTAAAATCACGATCATTTTTTACAGTGTGGGGTTCTTTACTCAACTCCAAAGAACCTTTTATGCTAAAAAAAAGCTTCTGACAAGAAAGAACCCTTTTGGCACAAAGGTTCTTTATAGGCTATTAATCATTCATATATAACATTATTCTGCAACATTTTGCAGTTATAATTAAATTATTGTTGATTAAACTGTTGTTGTAACTTAATATCACAATTGAATCATGCTGATTTTTGGAGGAGAAAAACTGAAATGGCACTCTTCGTATGATATTGATTAACTACATAAAATGATATAAATATATCAACCCGATCTCACGACCAAGTCGTACGAATTCGACGAATGGTTAAAAAGTGGCTAATTCGTAACAATTCATACGACCTCACTCGTACGAATTAATACGATTTTGCTAAATCGTACATATTTTACGAATTGGCCAATTCGTATGAATTCGTACGAATGACCTACCCCTTACCCCGCCCCTAAACCTAACCATCACGTGGGTTTAGACAAATCGTACGAATCAGAGCCATACATGGCTCTGGTACGAATTAGTACGAGTGAGGTCGTACAAATTAGTACGAATTAGCCACTTTTTAATCATGCGTCGAATTCGTACGAATTGGTCGTGAGATAGTGTACATTTTCGAACCCCCATATCTTGAATTTTGTGACCGTTCATGCATTCATAAATACATTTAAGGGCCTTGATGTTTGTCAAAAATATGAAATACTTAATCCGGATAGGACAAAACAAATAATAATGAATGAACCCAAACGGTTCTATTATATTGAACCCTTAAAAAAGGGTTCTGTATAGAACCTTTTAGGGGTTCCAAATACGTAGCGCTGATAGAACCTTTGAAGTTTCAATACAGAACCTTTTCTTCTCCATGATGGCATGTTTTATATTTTCTTTAGGATTATTGCAGAAAATAAGCTCTGTGACCAACAAAAGTTTATATTTCTAGAATGCAATAATCCACTTCTATCGGGTATCCATCGAGGGAACCGCAAAATTTCTTTTAAAATGCGTCAGTGATGTAAAATAATTTACAATTGTAAATAGGCCTACATAATTGTTCACACCGATTCACATTGAGGTCCTATAGAGAGCCCAAGTCCCGCCCCTCCGCTTCCGGCTCTTGGGACCTTATTTCAGGAAAAATATGAATGGTAGTCAATGGCGAGAGACAACTTATCTTTTTATTCCGTCTGAACTGTGCCCTGAATTACACATATGATGCTTGTCAATTTAAAAGATAATTCTGAAAGTCAAAAACGTCGCAGTTTGTCATAAAACAGAAGAGTAACATTTAGTTTTATGTGAAAATCGCTCTGTGAACTACATCTCCCGGGAAGCGAAACGAGATCCGCTGCTCGTGTGTGTGCAGTCTGGTACAAAACACTCAGGTACGACGGCGTAACGTTACGATTATAACGTAAGACTGTAGAAACAATGACAGACATTAGCCTCAGTAAAGTTAGCTTCATTCATTGAGAGAAAATGTGTGCCTTTGGGGTTTGTAGTCTTTGTAATTACGAATTTTCACAGTCTTATACTTCAACGGTTTTACATCAAACTGCAACTTTCTTTACTTTAAAATGTATCTTTTAAATTGACAAACATCATATGTGTAATTCAGGGCACAATTCAAACGAGATCAAAATATTTGTTTTCTCTCGTCATTGACTACCATACAATATTTTTCCGAAATAAGGTCCCATGGTGGTCGAGCGGAAGGGGAGGGACTTAGGCTCTCTATGTGAGAACACAGGCAATATAGTGGGGCAAAACTATAGGAAAAGTCCAAATAAGCTCAAATAGAAGCGCAACACCGAAGTGTTTTAAACCAAAAGAAGTGGGTCCAATAGTGCTTGCTGAAACCCTGAATAAAGCAGAAGAACATATATTATCAGTCGAAAGCCTTAATCCCAACAGAGCTAAAATGCCTGATAACGTTTTGAACAGTTACAGTGGTTTCAGTTGTAAATCTGTATTTCTTGTAAACAAAGCTCTTGGGGTTTGATGGTCACTGGAGACTCTATTTTTAGACTCTCGCAAATGCAAATGAGTTTCAGGCCACACTTCTAGTTTCACTGAGGGTTATTTGATTCAGTGCTTATAAAGAATTCAGCTTTGCGCAGGGTACACAAATTGACGTTTTTAGTATTTTGGGGTCTTATTTTTAAGAAACACACAGAAAAAAAAATGTTCAATAAACATCCTTCCATGTCTTTGGGTAAATTAAATTTTAAATAATAATCTCCCATCCAGGTCCTGACGCGGCTCAACCCTGCTTAGCTTCATTGGTATGGCTGCTGTTGATTATGATTATGCTGCAAGTGTGATTATTCCACTATTGTGTGGTTGCATAGTCTCATTAAAACTGACGTTCATCAGATGGAGCTGAAGTTTCTGAGTTTGCAGTGAGCCGTGAAGATTTTCTCGCACACACACAGGATGCAGCTGCTGCTTCACACTATACACATTTATCTATGTAAATGATGAGCTTTTTCTGCACTCTCTCTTATATACATTTAATACATACAATTTAATATAACTCTATAAATATATTGCTAAATTCGAAAGTTGGTGAATCTCACAAACAATTCCAAAACCAAGTGAAAAATAAGAATTTATCATTTTGTTTGCTAATATTGTGAAATATTATAAACATTTTAAGAGTGACCTCTGACCCGACGCATGACACAGGATGTAGGAGTAGCGTAAGCTTAGCGGCACGTTCAAGCTCAAACCGGTGGGCAATGTTTTGCTACGGTTTCCGGGTCGAACGGCATGTTTCCTGGAAATGCTGTGGAACAGGGTTTGAGACATGCACGTTTAATCGTGTTTGGTGGATGTGTCAAAAATGTCAGCCCGAGCAGCAGCAACATGTATATAAACCCGGCGGTGTTAAAGTGAACTCACACAATGGGTATACGCAACAGTTGAAGATATTTGAAGACAGGATTGTCTTTTCATCCGGAAATGCAAGGAAAATGTTGGATCACAATAATTAGGAACCACAGTTTCCACAAATCATTTCACTCAATGGGGATGTTCTCTTTTAATATTAACGGCAAGTGCAGGGACTGTAACATTGAGCGTATTTTGCAGTATTAAAGACGTTTCTGTCAGGACCACTGTCGTCAAATATGATTGACAGTTAGCATACAGTTTGCATTGGCGGTATGGTTCTGTTCTGTGAAAACTTCCTGCGCATCCACACAGCCTAGCATGGATAAAAGCAGTAATAACCCCCTTATGGTAAACAGGACAGAATTTATGTACATACATAAATGTGTGCAAATATTCGAGATTTTAAAGTGCAACATAATTTGAGAATTTATTCAGCTTTAAGGTGAATCAGAATGCCAAATCCTGACTAACGAGAGGTGGAGCTGGGGATGGAGGAGGGTGATTAGCTCCTGAGAAACATGATAGCTGCTGATAATACAACCCGGTCTCATCCCAAGACGTCATATAACCGACGTTTTGGGACGTCTTTTGACCATACGTCAATATTCGCCTTTTTAGGGCCCCCTTAAACGTCGGTAGATGAGGTTATGGGATCCTAACTCTACCCCAGACCTAAACCTAACCCTAAAGCTAACCCGTCTCCTAACTGACGTTAAAGGTAGAGCGTCAGTTGTATGACGGCCCGGGATCGCCATCTACCGACGTTTAAGGGGGCCCTAAAAAGGCGAATATTGACGTACGGTCAAAATACGCCCCAAGACGTCAGTTATATGACGTCTTGGGATGAGACTGTGTTAGATAATACTGAAGGAGCTTATATATGTAGAGTATAAAGTGATAGGTTTCGTATTCTTATAGGTAGACGTGGATGAGCTGAGAGTCAGCTGACGCGAGCTTGACTAACGTGACCAGCCAGAACTGACACTACGCTTGATATTTATACCGATTTCATCAGGCTCTGAAAATTCTTCAAGAAGGAAACCAAGAATGGCCTTCTCAGCTGCCATAGATGCAACTCCTGTGACATCAGAACAAGGGTGTTCAACGCACCCCCGTTTCTGCTTAAAAAACGTTTCGCAACTTTTTTTCTAAGGCAGCCCAGGTGAGAGGAAACGCCTCACACACTACAAACAACAAACTCAAACTCCTCCGACATTTCGCTTTTAAAATTCTCGTTTTTCTAATTCATGACTGGCGTTTTGTTTTGCTCGATCCTGTGCGCTTCAGCGTTCATCAACACGTCATGCGTCGGGTCAGAGGTCACTCATTCACCAGCACTTGACTCTCGCAAATCGCTGTTACAGGAAGCCATTGATTATAGTTTATAAAGTTAAAAAATATAGATATTTTTCTTCCAAAAATGCATCGCTTGGCTTCATAAGGCCTTTATAAACCCCCTGGAGCAGTATGGATTTATTTTATGAAGGATGGATGCGCTTTTTCTGGCTTCAAAACCTTGAGCCCTATTCACTCCTATTATAAAGCTTGGAAGAGCCATGATATTTTTTAATATAACTCTGAATGTGTTTGGCTGAGAGACGGAAGTCAAATAGGATGGCTTAAGTGTGAGTGAATAATCGGATAATTTTTATTTTTGGGTGAACTAAGAAAGTTTTTAAGGTAATTTTCAGATTGCATATGGCAAACCTTGCTGGATAAAATATTTTTTTTTTAAATAAACCCACCTCAGCCCATGTCACCTATTACAAATTGTTGTGTAGGTAAGCCAGCCAAACAAAGACGATAGATGCGATAGAATTAACTAACTCAAAATACAGTAATAAACAGAGGATAAACCATAACCATACTAAGTGCAAATTTAAACAAGAATTGAAACACAGGCCTATAAATACTAAAAGCCAACAAAGCTAGTTTGATAAACACAGGTGAAGCAAATAAGGGAACTAATAAGTAACCATAGTAAGTGACAAAAAAGAAGGTAATGTAATCTAGGAGACAAATAAGAACACAGGCAAACGGGAACTATAAGCAGACAGAGAGAAGACAAAACCACAAAAAGATAGATGCGACACCCATCCTGTGAAAACCGTTCTGAAATCGGACATTGCATTACCATGGCATTGGTTCTTCGAACCCTTTTATTGCTCCTCTCCCTAGTGGGCGGTGTCATGTTTCAAACATTTATTTCAAATATTTTATAATCAAATACGATTAGAATCTTGACAAAGCCACATTATTGTTGTTGGTAAGATCTGAGACTAATGTTCCATATTTGGTGACTGTTTTGTGATAGAATGGATATTATGACAGAAATGTATTCATTTGTTACAGAAGAACACATCAATAGAATGTGTGTGTCACCTGGTGGCCATTTTTGGTACAGCGCCTAAACAAGTTCTCACAGGAAGTTACATTTTTGAGATATCATATTAAATTCTTGAACACAACATATGGCTTAAATATTATTGCAACTTTAGAGTAAATTTATTTTGTAAAATGTATTTTTACTGCACAGTACATTTGTATTACAGTTAACGGTTCCAAACTTCCAAGTTTCCAAAAAATCCAAAACTTTTGAACTATATTATTTAAAAAAATTAATCAGTCCCCCTATTGTATATGAATACATCTCAAACAACAACAGAACGCTATTTTATGTTTGTTTGTTTGTTTATTTATTTTACTTGGGATTCCTGCACTTTGGGATTATCCACTCAGTGACATCAGGGTTATGAACAAATGTGATTGAGAACACTATAGTACAGTAATAGGCCTATAACAATACAGTAATAGACCTATAATATTAACACACTGTGTTAATATGTGCTTGAGTAGCTAAGAATTTATATAGTTTGGGGATTCACTGTCCAAAGGGCAATTTATCTTTCATTTTAAAAACTGATTGGCTATTCATTTAGAATTTTCCTTAGCGGATTTTATTTAGTCACTTTTAAGAGGCACCCCTAGACATTGCATTTCAGTAACCTGTGCAGCACAGAGAACTACAGAGAGCGCGCAGATCGACGTCATCACGTTCAGCAACTCCTGTAAACAACAGAAACCGAAAGCGTTCATATCGGATGACCAAACATCATTTCGGCTCAATCAAAATCTAACTAAATCTAACAAAAAGTTTTCACGTGTGGCGGTAAGTTCATTCAAAAGTTTCACAGTTATAATATCAATGAGTAATACTAATTGTTTCGAAGCCTTAGCCTTTTGCGGCTAAATAATTTAAAGACCTAAAACTTGTTCTCTTCTCTCCTGACAGACAGCGACTATCAGAAACTAAAATGGCGGCGGTACACCCAGTGAGAAGTGGCGTTTAGGACCATAGATATCTAGGACGAACTCACGGGTAGGCTACAGCACACGACTGCGACAAAAAAGCAGTAGGCAAATATAATCCTGTAGGGAAAAGTTTACTTATAAACTGAACGAGTTTAAGCGAATTAAAATCGAAAGCAAAAACAAACTTCGGTCTACTGAAAATGCCTACACTCATTCGTTTCAAGGTGTCGGTATAATAACGATTTAGGCCAGATTTTTATGAGAACATGAGCTCAACAACTATGTGCCAAAAACTGTGTAAGCTTATTTAGTGTATGGAAATCAATGAGGCTAGCTAAAATACACCCAAAAAATGAATTTACTAACCCTGAAGCCATCCTAGGTGTTGTAGGCCTATAGCCTATGATGACATTCTTCTTTCAGACTCATTCAATTGAGTTATAAACAATATGCCCCTGGCTCTTCCAAGCTTGATAATGTAAGTGAATGGCTGTGTGACTTTGGAAGTACATTATGGCGTATCTATTCATGATTAAAGTGCTTGAAACGGATCTGTGGGGGTTAAGAAAGGTTTTCTGCAGTGATGTATTCGTGTAAGAAAAAAATATCCATATTTAAAACTTTATCGACTAAAATAACTAGCTTCTGATAATTTGGGTTACCCACTTCTGTTGGATGGGACTGCCAGTCCGCATCTGGGGAAAACCCCCCCAAAAATCGATAGTTTAAGTTGGTCTGCAGTATCATTTAGAATGTGGATGATAATAATTCAACTTCATAATAATAAAATGTTTTGGTACGGCACAAATGAGATCCGCCACACCACTAGTCAAATATCCTAAAGGAATATGCTAAGAAATTAATATTATAAAATAGATAGTTCTGGTCCTTGGTGATGATTGAATGAGCTGTTTACAAAAGAATTGTGAAATATTCTATAAACACACACCTGTATAGCTGCCTGTCCCCTAAACACACTGTAAAAAAACGCGGTCTATGCAGACAACCCAGACTCCACAAATGGCAACAAAAACAAACTGCGGCAACCCGCTCCAGGAAACATGACAAACTGTTCCAGCCAATAGCTGAGCTGACAAGAAGGCCCAGGGGGTGGGGTTTATGGGGTCAGTGCAGATTAGGAGGAGGGAGGGTCTATCTAACCTCTGTTTTGTTTGAAAATACTTTAAACGTCAACAAGAAGTCACGTCACCTGACATCGCTTATAGCACCTTTAACTGGCCTAAAATCAGTCAATCAATCAATTTTGTCAAAATTCAGTCAGTGTATGTTCTGTGTTTCCACATACAGGCCTGAAACAATGTCTCTTATCTAGGAAGAAGAGAAGTAGAAGTCTGCCTGTAAAATGAGTGTGTATGAGGAGAAAGAGGAGGAGGCGTCTGTTCACACTCAGAGAGCACCATCTCCAGTATCCAGTTGTGTGTCCATGAAGAGTAACAACTCCATGTTTGAGCCCCCTAATCTCAGTGATAGACCATCTCCAGGATTCAGTTGTGTGTCCATGAAGAGTAACAACTCCATGTTTGAGCCCCCTAATCTCAGTGATGGACCTGCTGAAACCTCTGGCCCTGTGTGAGTATCATATTGTCTTTTTACATAATTCACTCACTGATGTTCTTTTTTATGAATATTAATAGGGCTGTCAACTTGGCTGAGAAATGACCCCTAAAAGATTGTTTAAAGTATTTTAAAAACAGGTGACAAGCAATTGCACTCCACGTGTGACTCCCTGATGAATGTTCATTAGCCGCAACGGGCTGGTGTGCCATTATAATATTGATCTTTCAAACTGACATTTAGTAAAAACAGACAAAGTTGTGTCATTTTTATTTTATAAATATGTACACATAGTAAAGAGAATGTAGGCAACATTTATGATAAAATAAATATCTAACATATGTTATGTTTTAAATTTATAAAACAAAATGTCACAACTAGGGCTGGGGTAAACGATTATTAACTAAACGATTAGTTGGGCGATTATTTTATCGATTAGTCGACTAATCTAATGACTAATTGGACGACTAATATAAAGAATATTTTTTCTGCTGCTCAATTAATAAAAAAACAATATCTCAAATAAATACTGGCATACTGAATCAAGATACTATAAGCTGGCTAACGTTAGTCTAATGTTATGTATTTGAACACCATCATTATAACTCTACAACCGCCAAAACCGTGTTATTAAAATATTTTTTACAAACATTTTTCATCATAGAGAATGTTTAAATATTAATATCAGCTGAAGAGGGAAACGGAGGCGGAGTTAGTGGTGCGATCGGAGGCTTCTAATACTGGAGATGAATCGGGAGAGGTTTGTGCACCTACTGATCAGAGCGCGTGCTGACACGGAGTAAAGCCTTGTTTATACTCGACACGTCCGCATGAGCGCGAATGTGTGTGCGGCAAAAATGACGCGTTGGGTGCGCAAGACGAGGAAGACTCAAGACTGTGGCTGGCTGTGTGTACGCCTTTTTTTTGTAACAGTGCGCGCTGCGCCGCATCCGGCATCCGGAAACGACTTCAAGCCGAATCTGCCCGAGCTTGTACGTCTCACCACACCGACACCCAGTTTGCGCATCTAAATTGCAATTTTTTTTCTTAAAGCCACAATATGTATTTTTTCTGCATTAAAAATAGCAAAAATAACTGTATCTATGTTATATATTTCTGTTAGATATGTACTTACATTATCCCGACAGTTTCCACCAAATTTCAAATACGGAGAAATTTATAGTTTAATTCGAAGACACGGGACGTTTCTTTATTTCCGTTTCGTCGCCCGTCTATGGCATCATATAACCTTTGACTCCTCTATTTTCTCTAACTTCCTTGCGGAACCCGGCGAAACCGCCAAACACAAAGGGGAACACTGGACTACCGCTAATAAAGCAAAGAAAATGATGAAATAAAAAAAGTAGTACGTATTTTTATGTGTGTAAATCACGTGCCCGCTCACGAGCGCTCACTCTTAACAGACACACTGTCCCCGGTGCTGCTCGCGCATATAAAGCGCTCCCGTTCACAGTAACCGGGTCGTCTCATTCAAAACAGTCAACTGTTGCTGTTAGCGAGCCGCGCACATTGAATACTCTTATGAGTCAGGCTGCGAATGTACGTGCCCGCTTCAGCCCGCTCATGCTTACTAAATAAACGCCTCACCTCCGGCGCCGCGCACTCACTACATTCCCTTTAGCCTTTAGCACATAGTGGATGAATAACGCAAACCCAGTCAAACGTTTGACTGCAGTATCTTATGTGCTTTATAATCCGGTGCGCTCTATATATGAAAAATGTTCTATAATAGGTAATTCATTGAAGGAGCGTAATATTAATATTTATATTCGTGATTCGTCTGTATAATAGTTATGGACCACGATTACACTTTGCCTGCACGTTCTGCTGCTACAGCCAGCTCATTAGCTAAAGCTCAAACGTAGGGGTGAAAAATATGACGCGAGAAGGGTTTGGGACAGGAGAAAAAGCATGACACAGGTAAACATTGGGGTTGCATTTAAAGCTTCTTGACAAGCTAAATCTACAGAGAGATGCCGTATATCCGTATATTTTGTGAAACGATGATGTCATGTCATGAGCTGAGCTGGTTGTCATTGACAGCGACAACAACTCCCGTGAGCCCACGCTTTTTCCCGACATCATCAAAGTACGTCTTTTGTTATTATTTTAAACGAGTGACCCCTGGTGGCCAAAAATCGCATACTGTACGTTTAAGGGTTTGTTTACTGTGTGTGATTCATTTAATGGATAGCGCATTCACTTCTAGTTGTCTTCGTCCTCTATTCTGCAATGTTTCGGTCTCCCACGTGTGTGTGGCAAGCTGTACCACCGGGAACATGCAAAAAATAAATAAATAAAGAAGCGTCGACGCAAAAATATGACGTCGACGCAATTTTGACGTCGAATCATCGACGCGCCGCTACAGCACTAGTCACAACCCTTTTTGTTAAATGTCAGTTTTAATGATCAATAATAGCCATTATAAAAGTATAAGTAGCCTAAAAGGTTTAAGAAGCTAAAAAAGAAATAAAGCAAACGATTCAGTCAAACATAAGTCAGCTCTCTGTGCAACAACGTTGAAGTTAAATAGACCAAATATATAAAGTTAAGAACGTAAAGTTATACAGGAGATCATGTTGTTTCTCCATGTTTACATTTTGAAAGTTTCACTTGTGCTGAAAGTTCATGTTCCTGCTTTACCCAGATAATCACCTTGTGAACTCACTAGAACAGCCTTACAGATCAATCACGCAGACGCGGATAACAGTAACCTGTCTGCCTCATTAAATCAACATGTATTAGTTTAAACATAATATATAATATTTGAAAGAAAAAACCGAGGTTTCATTAACAGTATTGCATTAAAAGCAATTAGGATAATTGCTGTAACTCTTCTACTCGGTTTATAATGGGCATGCACACTGGCTCAGTTTAGCTTTCTTACATTTCATTTGTTTGAAGTGTTTCTTACTATTGACAAAACCTCTTTTTTTTTTTTAACATGTAATACCAGTACTGCTCTATAAACCAGTATGGACCTTATCCACAGCTGCGCTACTTCCTGAACTTCAGCCAGCTCCTTGTTTCCTGTCTGCCATTATTGGCCAAATTGATTAGTTCATGTGTGCCTGACCTCAGTAGTCACGGCAACAATAATCAGACACACCTGAATTAATCAAGTTCGGCCAATAATGGCAGACAGGAAACAAGCAGCTGGCTGAAGTTCAGGAAGTAGTGCAGCTGTGCATAAGGTCAATTGGTGTTAATTTATTGGAGCAGACATATAATCTGCAAAGAAATAATCTGAAATGTTCTTCCTTCCTCTCAGTATCTTCAGCAGGAAGAGAAAGAGAGCAGCGTCTCCTCTACAGCCTCCTGATCTCAGTGATGAAGCAGCGCCCTTTCACCGTCTGTGAGTATATTCATGTAGAGCCAAACATTCAACACAACAACACACAGTGTACACACAAACAACAAGAGGGACGTTATTACATTTTTATGTTATTTCAGCAATAAAGTCATGTAAAGAAAGAGGTAGGAACTTTATTAAATAGCTTCTCTGTTATTCTTCTTTTATTTGTCTGTCTATATGACACTGCAGGGAACTACACTACGACCAAAATGGTCGCATATGCGACCTTTTGAAATCCCATTGCGACCCTAATTTTTAATTGGTCGCAAATGTATCACTGACTATTTTGACGGGCCGTTTTTTTTTTTGTTTCTTTCGGGTTTTATTTAATCTTCTAAAACCTGTCGGATCGTCCGCTGTTTGTCCCGCCAAAGCCTTTTTTGATCGGCGAGTGTTGTAGAGTAGAATGACTGATGCGTTTGACAGGGCGCAAACGAGCTGTGAGAGAGAGAGAGAGCGCGCCCTGGCCACGCGCTTACTCTCACGTCTTCACACAACACAAGCGCTGTCTTGCTCTCTCTCTGTCTCTCCCTCCTCACGCATATTTTTCAAAATCAATGGACATGATAGTAAAAGGTTTGTGTTTTTATAATAGGCATGCTAATCACAATCATATAGGCTACCATCTGGGCCTGTATGGCGGCAGGAAAAAGACGCAGAGATGTAAGACGGTACAGCAAAGGTAGATTTGCGCTCTGGAGTTCGGCTGATAAACTCTGCCATTAGCTAACTAGTTATATTGCTAGCGCTGATATTGACATCGACTAACGTCATATGATCACTAGCAGTTTTTTTAGACAATTTTTTATTTATTTTTTGTGCTGTGTAGGCTGAATCATAATCGCGTGATTCGCGTCAAGACACCTGATTGGCTAATACTACACACTGAAGATAAATTAAATATTGTTTTATTAAATAATTACTGAAAATATCCCTCTCTTTATCCCACACCCCAAACATGACATACAAAATGTTGTGGAACAGAAACAACAACCAGAGATATAAGCTATCATTTTATTGTCATCACAGTTTGCCAACAGTCCTGCGTCCATGATTCTACATGGATTAAAAAAGAAAATCAAATGTGTTTTAATGGTAATTATTTTATACGGAAATCATTTATTTATAATTCAGATGAGAATAAAGTGTTAATTAAAATTAAGGAAAACAAATATATTGATCTAAAATATAGCAAATTAATTTTACATTCATTCAAGTACAATTACCAAACATATATCAAGGTCATTTTGTCTTTTTAGTAAATTAATGAATAAACTAATTATATAAAATTATTGTCAGTGCACTTCAAATAAACTGGTTCTATGCCATTATTAATAAAACTTAAACAACTTAAAAATACGAGGCTTAAGAGATTTATAAAAATGCCTTCTGCATTTTTGTTTTGCTTTTCACTCCGTTGTACCGAAATTGAACCGTCTGAATGTCTGAACCGAGGTATGAACCCAACCGTGACTTCTGTACCGTTCCACCCCTAATGCAGTACAGTTTCATAATTATTCATTATTATCCAGAGTGCGGCTTACTATAAATAATTTGCGCGACCAAATCATGTTTTGCACCAGTAACTGAAAAAGTTAGTAGCGCAAGTGCCACCAGTGGAAAAGGTTAGTGTAGTTCCCTTCACTGTATTTTTGTCACATTGGGTGTCTGTATCAGTGTTATGGACAGTAATCATATTATAGTCTATTAATCAAACACTTCTTTCTAAATGCGTTTGTGGTGTGCTTATTTCAAATAGGGTCATTTAATATTAGAGACATTTAAATAATTTCCTTTGTTTTGGTCTTTCTGTTTATCATAATGTTTTTTTCAGTGATTGGAGAGCTGACCAGATCAGTGATTCTCACCAACCAGTGCATGATGATCTTCAGAGGGTCAAAGACCAGCACAAAACCAGCATGAAGAACAGATATGAGAGGGTTTTTGAGGGAATCAAACTACAAGAGAATCAGACTCTCCTGAACAGGATTTACACACAGCTGTACATCATAGAGGGAGAGAGTGAAGGAGTGAATGAAGAACATGAGGTGCTACAGATGGAGAAAAGTTACAAGACCCTCCAAGACACTCCAATCCACTGCAATGACATCTTTGATCCTTCACCTGAACCAGGATATGAGGAGAAGAGAAGAGAGAAGAAAGACAAAATCAAGACTGTTCTTACTAAAGGCATCGCTGGAATCGGGAAAACCGTCTCTGTGCAGAAGTTCATTCTGGACTGGGCCGAGGGAAAAGCCAATCAGGATGTAGATTTCATGTTTGTGCTTCCATTTAGAGAGCTGAACTTGATAAAAGATCATCAGTACAGTCTTCACAGACTTCTGCTGGACTTTCATCCTGAACTTCGAGATCTGGACTCAGAGATGTATGATGAATGTACAGTTGTGTTCATCTTTGATGGTCTGGATGAAAGCAGATTGACACTGATGTTTTCAGACAGTGAGAAAGTTTCTGATGTGACTGAGTCTTCATCTGTGGGTGTGTTGATGTCAAACCTCATGAAAGGAGATCTGCTTCCCTCAGCTCTCATCTGGATCACCACCAGACCAGCAGCAGCCAATCAGATCCCCTCCAAATACATCAACCGTGTGACAGAAATTCAGGGATTCAATGACCCTCAGAAGGAGGAATATTTCAGGAAGAGAATCAGTGATGAGCATCAAGCCAGCAGAATCATCTCTCACATCAGAAGAGCAAGAAGCCTCCACATCATGTGTCACATACCCGTCTTCTGCTGGATCTCAGCCACTGTGCTTCAAAACATCCTGAAACAAGATCTCAGTGCAGAAATCCCTCAAACTCTGACTGAAATGTACATACACTTCCTCCTCATTCAAACTCATATGAGGAACCAGAAGTATGAAGAGAGAGATCCAGAGAAACTCCTGCAGTCCAACAGAGACGTGATTGTGAAACTTGCTGAACTGGCTTTCAATCAGCTGATGAAAGGCAATGTGATGTTCTATGAGGAGGACCTGATTGAGAGCGGCATAGACGTCACTGACGCCTCAGTGTATTCTGGGATTTGCACTGAGATCTTTAGGGAGGAATCTGTGATTTATCACAGGAAGGTTTATAGCTTTGTACATCTCAGCTTTCAGGAGTTTTTTGCAGCACTGTATGTGTTTTTCTGCTATTTACACAAGAAGAGTGAAGTTATGAAAGAGTTCCTCACTGGAAAGTCCAGAACTCAGTCTGGAAATGTTCCTCTGGATGTGTTTCTGAAGGATGTAATGAATAAAGCCTTGGTGAGTAAAAATGGACACCTGGATCTTTTACTTCGATTCCTTCATGGCATCTCACTGGAGTCCAACCAGAGACTCTTACAGGATGTGCTGATTCACACAGAGAACAACCCAGAGAGCATCAAGAAAATAATCCACAACCTCAAACGAGCCAAAAAAAACGATGTCAGTCCTGAAAGATGGATGAATCTGTCACACTGCTTGATTGAGATGAAGGATCATTCTGTTCTTGAAGAGATGCAGGCGTTTTTAAACTCTGAAACAAAAAGAAAAAGTCTCTCTCATGCACAATGCTCAACATTGGCGAACATGATCCTGATGTCAGAGGAGGGGATGGATGAGTTAGACTTCATGAAGTACAACATCAAATCAAAAGAGGGTAAATGGAGACTGGTACCTGCTGTGAGGAACTGCAGAAAAGCTCTGTGAGTGTGAAAATATGAACATAATTATATTTGACCGAAGTTGTGATGGAGGTTTGATAAGTTTTATGAGGGTTTGTGTTCACAAAGTTTCAATACTTTGTTTTGTTTTGATTTATGGGTCAATGACGTATAAGGATTTTCCACAGGCTAATTTTAAAATACTAAAAATAATAATATCTGTTGCAATTGTTCAAACATTAAGGATGTTGTGTACACCTAAATTCATTTTAAAAATTTAATTTAAGTGATTTTAGTGTTTTTTCATCTAGATGAATTGTCCCTAGCCTTAAAGGAACACTCCGACTTTTTGGGACTTTAGCCTATTCACCTTACCCCCCAGAGTTAGATAAGTCCATACATACCTTTTTCATCTCCGTGCGTGCTATAAGTCTGTTTGACGCACCCACCGCTAGCCTAGCTTAGCACAAAGACTGGATGTGAATGGTTGCAGCTTTCATACTAATCCAAATGAGTGACAAAATAACGCAAACGTTTTCCTATTTACATGTTGTGGTTTGTATAGTCACAGAGTGTGCAAATATCAAGGCCATATGAGACACAGACATCTTTTGACCGTATAAATACTATATTTTCTGAAGGGGAAGCACTGCTACTTGGGCAGAGTAACAATCACCTGAGACGCACCGTGACGAGGAGCAGAGAGTTCGCTTCGCTCAGCGTTGGAATAAAGAGTCAGCAATTACTAACGTTAGATAGAAAAGCAAGGTTTATCATGGGTGTTTGCTTTATTGTATGAGCTGTGACAATAAACAGGGGAGACCAGGTAATACAGTACCATGTTTCATTGATTTCCAACCAAAAACGCACCCAGATTTATAAATATCACATGAATAAATAATTATTATTACAGGAATCAATATATTTTAAATGCAATTTATTAGCTGAACCAAATGTATTCAACAGTAAATACATTTGCCTATATAATATACAGTATTGCATTACTATAGGATAGAATAAGGGGAAAGTAATAGCACAAATTGTTTTTGCACAATGAACTCACAGCCTATCGTACCCTTTTGCACGCTCAAGTTCGTTATTTCCATGGTTATTTCAAATTTAGGCTACTAGGCGCGCCGCGCGCAGGGTGCAAGTTCAACGCGGTAAACGCGCTCGTTTTTTTTTTCCCAAGCGCGTCCGCACCGCATCAAGATAAAAACATATTCACACCCTAATCATATAATAGTGTCACTAACGTTACATTAGATCTGGCTAAAGGCACTGTTACAGTAGGTCATCTAAAAACATAACGGAACACTTACCTCAGCCGCAGGTGATCCACTTGTCCTGTCTATCGATGGGATGGCCGTATCCTTCAGCACATTATGGTCCGTGTGGCAAATTCCATTTTTTCTAAATAGTCGTCCTCATTGAAATGTACCGAGCAAACGTAATGTCCCTTGATAATCTTAGGTGTGTTTGGATAAATATCCAGAGTAAGTTAGCCATTTCTTCATCCAGTCAGCGTTTTTAGTTGGAATTCTGTGAAACATGGTATTACCTCCCCTGTTTACTGTCGCAGCTATTTACAATAGAGCGAAAACCCATGACTCTAAACTACGCTTTTACTATTTATAAATTGCTGACTCTATTACCCAAACACCGAGCGAACTCTCCGCTCCTCACCACGGCGTGTCTCCGGTGATGCGGTTATTACGCCGTCAAAGTAGCAGTGCTTCGCCTTCAGAGAATAGTTCCCAGGTTTTATACGGTTAAAAGATGTCTGTGTCTCATTTGACTTTGTTATTTGTACATTATGTGACTATACAAATCACAACATGTAAATAGGAAAATGTTTGCGTTATTTTGCCACTCATTTGGATCAGTATGAAAGCTGCAACCAGTCACATCGAGTCTTTGTGCTAAGCTAGGCTAGCGGTGGGTGCGTCAAACAGACTTATAGCACGCACGGAGATGAAAAAGGTATGTATGGACTTATCTAACTCTGGGGGGTAAGGTGAATAGGCTAAAGTCCCAAAAAGTCGGAGTGTTCCTTTAAAAAATGTCATGTGGTGCGACCGTGATTTATCTTAAAATTTATTAATTTCTTTAAAGGGTTAGTTCACCCAAAAATGAAAATTAAGTCATTAATTACTCACCCCCATGCTGTACCAACCCCGTAAGACCTTCGTTCGTCTTCGGAACACAAATGAAGATATTTTTGATTAAATTTGAGAGCTGTATAACTACCACATTGTCTCCTAAGTGACTGCCTCTTGACGGCCCAGAAAGTCAATGAAGAAAATGTTTAAATATCCCAAGTGACTACCGTGGCTCAACTATATGTTTATCAAGCGACGCGAATACTTTTTGTGCGAAAAAACAAACAAAAATAACGAGTTTATTCAACTATTTCTTTTCTTCCTTGTAGGCCAGAACGAGACTTCCTTAGATTTCCACGACGCATGCGCGAGATTTGCGATCTGAATACACCAGCTTACACTACTTCAGATCGCAATTCTCGCGCATGCGTCGTGGAAATCTATAAGGAAGTCTCGTTTTGGCCTACAAGGAAAAAAAGAAATATACGAATAAACTCGTTAAAACTTAAAGTAAGTACATACATGAGAGAGGTACTACAAATATGCAGTATCTTTATAGGCATTTAAACCCATTTTTGCCTGAAAAAATGCAGTCGGACAGAAAATTTAGGCGTCACGTCATTGACCCTTATACTTAGTGAATATAACCAACCTACCAGTAAACTAGTCCAACTCTGAGGCAGGTGTTGATGTCATTTTAGTCAATAGAATTGGTTTATGTAATAAAGTACTTTATCACACACACACACACACACACACACACATATATATATATATGGGTGGCATGGTTCACAAAACACACGGTTCGGTTTGTTTCACGGTTTTTGGTTCTGTACGGTTCTCGTTATTTTTTCTTTTAATATTTAACACTCCAGACTTCAGCATTTGATATATAGCTTAATTATCTACAATTTAGATACAGTATATAAAAAAAAATGTTGTATTCATGCAATCATGCACAAACTGAATTTGTCTTGACTTAAAACACATTATTGGGACCATCTCCGAGGAAAGCTAGGTGAGATTTTGATACAGCAAGACAGAAGACATTGATGACATACTGTTAGTTTTTTTGGGCAAAAAAAAGGAGAATGTGTATCACTATCTCTACAAGAACTTATGTGTATTTTTCGCACACAAAGATTGAAATTAATTTAAAACCATTGAACTGAATGGACTCGCAAATTTGGCTGATAATTTCTGCTGAAAAATGGTAGAGTTTTGGTCTGTACTAATCGGTCGCATCGGGAAAAAACTGATGAAAGAAGGCATTTGTGGTTGAGAGGTACAGCATCAGCTCATCAGCCACATGTGTAAATGAAGTGTTTACTATGGCTAAAATGTTGACGTAGTTAACTATGGCTACATTCACACAGACAGTCCAATATTTCTAATATTTAAACCATTTAATACATTGATCATAAAAATGTGGAAATATATTTTCTTTGCATAAGGGGACATCAGCACAACAGCATGCATTTTAACCAGAGTCCTTGCTGTTTTCAGATTAACAGCCTGTAATCTCACAGATCAGCACTGTGAAATTCTGGCTTCAGCTCTACAATCCCCAAACTCCCCCCTGAGAGAGCTGGACCTGAGTAACAATGACCTGCAGGATTCAGGAGTGAAGCTGCTCTGTACGGGACTGAAGAGTCCAAACTGTCAACTCAACATACTGAGGTTTGTGTTTCACACTGATGATAATTAGTACAGACCCCCATCAAGCATGCTTAAGAAGAAAATAATCAAAAAATATGCTAGTTTGTTTTTGTTGGGTCACCCAAAATAGCGACAGAAAGTTAAATATAAGTTTTCCCTTTTTCCAAATCTTTAAACCATTCATGCAGTAGATTAAGTGTTTTTAATATTTTGAAATAAGAAGAGTTTTTTAAAAATATTTTTTGAATATAAAAATAAAGAATGTTGAAAATAATGATACGTTGAAACTAAACCGCCAGTATGTGGTGGCAGGCGACCGTCTTAATGAGCGAGTCATTGAGTCATTCGTTCAGCAGGTTCTGCTCTGCTGTGATCTTTGTTTGGAACTATTTTCGCTGCTGAAACAGAACAAAAACATTAATTACGTCTGAAATGTTAATTTTAATTATTTGTTTATTTAACTCTTATTGAACTATCATTGTCCTGGTTTCGATCGTGATGGTATTCTGGAAAACAGCACTCTGGTGTGATGTTTCTTAACTATATAATATGTTATAAATAAATGCACGAGCCTCAACACAACAGTGCAACTTTGTTACCGTTAGTAGGCCTACATTAGGTAGGCCTATATTAATATTATTATCAACTATAGGCTATGAGTCGCCACTTACATTAAATTAAATAAAATCAGAATCATCCATGTGTTTTTGGTGATTCCCTAGTTATTTTTTATAAAAAATGTAATTGGTCATTTGTCCATTTGGGGAAGTAGAATTCTCTGTCCCTTTAAAAAAACACACGTGTCCTGTTCATACCCATGTTTTCCTTGATTTGTTTTCCCTGAAGAGAATTACGTTGTTGAAAACAGAAGTAAAAGAATGACGCTCTTTCGTCGACCGTGATGAGAGTTCTGTGTCTTTTTTTAAACAACACATTGTAATGATTTATCTGTTATCCACCCTCGATTAATTGGAATGTTATGTTTTTATTACTTGTCCCTTACGACCCGCTGATGATTCACACAGCACTATCGGCAAACTATACAGTTTGAGAATGAACACAGGCCGGGAACCCGCAACAGAACCGCCACGCTGGAAAAAGTGCATCTGAGTATGTTTCACGAAATTTGACGGAGGCGACCGCCACGTATGCAGGAACCCTGCATAAATGCTTCTTCAGATGTGTCTGTCCCTGAGATTGGTTTGTAGCGATTGACCTGAAGGACACGTACTTTAATGTCTCGAATCTCCCTCGACACAGATCGTTCCTCCGCTTTGTGTTCGAATGGCGGGCATACCTGTACAAATTCCTTTTAATTATTTTTTTTAATATTTTGGCTGACCCCTAAGCTTGAGTTTTTCCGTTATTTAGAATGTATCGCAGTATCACTTTATTGTTTCCATGGTGATGCACAATTTCTTGTCACATGACACACTGGAGCCACAATAGCGCTGAATGACTGATGATCTGCTTTTATTTCACTTAAATTTAAAAATTAAAAATATTTATTTATTTTGATTGCTTTTATTTGTCAAGTACAAGAAACATACATAAAGTGCGTACAGGAATACAATGTCTTTTTCTTTTTTATGAACTTAAAGGGATAATTCACTTTGAAATTAATTTTTGGTATGTTTTATGTTACCTCAAGGGCATCCAAGATGTAGGTGTCTTTGTTTCCGCAGTATTTTTAATTTTGATATTTTTAGGTCAAACCGTTCTTGTCTGTCAGTCATATAATGCAGGTCTATGGTCACCACCTCAAAGAGCATGCAAAGAGAAGTCCAAATTAAACATGATTTAATGACTTGTAAAATGTAAGTACACATTGATGGCCTAAGACACGAACCGAGCGGTTTGTGTGAGAAAACGAACAGTATTTATATCGTTTTACCTCTTGTAACCACAGCCATGTCCATGTGATCTGAAGGCACGCCGGAAAGTGACGGAAGTGATCTCTTGTCTGTTGATACCGGTATATCGAAATCATCTTCCATTGCAATTTCCTGTTTATCTAAATATGTTTAGATCATCACAGTGAATGGTAACACTTCTGAAATATCTGTGTAAACAATGAGTGACGTACATGCGTGAGAGATCACTTCCGGGGCTTTCCGGCGCTTGCGCAGACCGAAGCGCCCTTGCCCTCAGATCACTTGGACGTGACTGTGATCACAAGATATAAAAACGATATAAATACTGTTCGTTTTCTCTGAATGTCAAACTGAGACAAACATTTAATTGGGGTTGTTAGACCAATTTGAGGCTGGGAGAATGAAGGGACATGTTTTTAAATTGACCAAATTAAGTTTGTTCATGTATCGTTCACGCTCTATGGCAGGCAGGGTGGACATATAGTTACTTGACATGTTTAATCTTAGTGATTTTTTTTAAGTTATTCACACCTGTCGGCTGTGCACAGACGTTGTTTTGTGTCGCTATTTTGTATTGAAGTTTATGGGAAGTCTAGTTTATTTTCCTCTAAAAGTGGGCGTGAATCTGTTCAAAGACATTCTATGACGTTGCACCGGTTGTGTGTATTGTACCTTTAAGCTTTTTATAAAAGGTCAATCCTTGGCTGAAGTCATAGTCATTATTAGGTATTTTTGACCAGGAACAGTGAAACCTTTTTTAATAATGAAAAAACTAATTTCCCTGCAGTAGTAACGAAAATATGCATTATATGCATTCACTTATATCTTATTTATTTATAATTTCCTCTGTTTGACCATTATTTGGACAAGACACAAACTTTAAAAATAGATTTCTGCCATCTGGTAAAAAATAAATAAAATGATTATTGTCAAAATCCTGTTATGATAATTATTGTCAGTAAATGGCTGAAGAGTTGTATGAATCCATATACATTTGGATATTTATTTAGACATTATCAAACTAGTCTAATATCTTTCTAAGTTTGGTACAGGGATAGAAACGAGTGGGTATTTAAGGCAAAATGGCAACAAAATCAACAAAAATGCCCCTGAAATTCAAGACGAGGATGCAAAAGGTTACCCTGTATTATTAAAGTCGGCATGAAATCAAATTTGACAAATCTTCTTTTATATGTAATATTGTAGTTTATATTAATATTGTTTATTATAAATAATTTATCTGTGCACTTCATTTTTTTTTTTAAATTCATGTACCCTTATAATCTTTAATCAAATACATTACCCTGCCCTCCCCCATCGAAACGGCATCTCTTCTATTTCGGTCACGTGGAATGGCAAAAAGTAGTAGTGCAGCTGAGCATAAGGTCAATTGGAGAACGCTGAATAAGAGGGGGATGAGTCAAAGTTAAATATCCCAAAATAGTGTTACTCTCGGTTACACAGACAAGGCTTGAGCTAGTCCAGCACTAAAATGCATGTTTGAACTGGTTTAACTGCTTCCTTGTTTTGTCTCAAGATGCACAGCAGTAATGTGTTTTTCTAAGACCCGTTTATAAAAGCTACTTAAATGTCCCAGTTGAACTAAGGCCTAATCCTGTTTAAATTAGGCCTTAGTTCAACTTAAATCCTTCATGTTCACAATTATTGTTTCTGAATAATTGTTCAGTTCTTTGAAAAAGACAAGATAACAAAACATTCAGGACTTTACTAAAAACATTCAAGGCTTCTGCCTCGTTTGTCCAGACCTAGCGCAACCCCTGTCTGAGGCTATAATTTTACTGTACATCTCTAAAAGTGAAGCACACTAACATGAACACTTGTTGTTGTAGGTTATCTGGCTGTATGGTGACAGAGGAAGGTTGTGCTGATCTGGTATCAGCTCTGAGTTCAAACCCTTCACACCTGAGAGAGCTGGACCTGAGCTACAATCACCCAGGAGATTCAGGAGTGAAGCTGCTCTCTGATAGACTCACACATCTGGACAAACTCAAGTATGTAGAGCAGTAACAGATATCATGTCTGATGTGCATTTGAGTGTTAAATTTGAGAAAGACTGAGTTTTCCATTAGAGCCCTTTTGTGTGGTTGTCATGAGATATTGCTTTTGTTCTCACAAAGACTGTACATTAATGTATTGCTCTATCCTCTTAATGCATACCACAAATAATGTTCAGAAATATTACAACTCACAATTATCATTCATTATACAGGTACAATAATGGATATAGAAATTTACCATGATGGACATAATAATAATAATAATTTGATTATATGCTTCAGTCATAGAGAATTTTTTTATTCCACCTGCGTCATAATAAAATATAAATTATTAGGGCACTGATATGACTGAAGTTAACACTTTTTGAACATAATTTAAAAATGTTCACAATACGCAAATTTTCAAAAATGGTTTATGGTTATTTTCATATTCTCTATTAAAAAATCTACAAATGATATATGATTTGTTGGAATCAGACAAAACAATTATTGAGCTACACCAGTTTGAAGTCGATAGTCAGCAAAGTCAATTTTGAGACAAATCGAGTTAAAGTTTTCTGAAAGTTACAAAACAAAATCACATAGCAACTGTACCTTAAAATCCCTGGTAATACCAGCAAACTTGGCACACACCAAGTCTTAACCTAATATCTGTAAGGAAAAATATAGATTACACTTTTTTTTCCCTTGAGACCACAATTGTTTGATTAACATTGAGACAGACAAATACATGTATATAAACACCAACATATTAACACTAGCTGTACTGAAAGGATGTAATATGTTACACATCAGATGTTTTTCCCCAAAAGTTAACCAAACGTTCTCTTAAAGGGTTAGTTCACCCAAAAATGAAAATTAAGTCATTAATTACTCACCCCCATGCTGTACCAACCCCGTAAGACCTTCGTTCGTCTTCGGAACACAAATGAAGATATTTTTGATTAAATTTGAGAGCTGTATAACTACCACATTGGCTCCTAAAGGACTGCCTCTTGACGGCCCAGAAAGTCAATGAAGAAAATGTTTAAATATCCCAAGTGACTACCGTGGCTCAACTATATGTTTATCAAGCGACGCGAATACTTTTTGTGCGAAAAAACAAACAAAAATAACGAGTTTATTCGACTATTTCTTTTCTTCCTTGTAGGCCAGAACGAGACTTCCTTAGATTTCCACGACGCATGCGCGAGATTTGCGATCTGCTCACATCAGCTTACACCACTTCAGATCGCAATTCTCGCGCATGCGTCGTGGAAATCTAAGGAAGTCTCGTTCTGGCCTACAATGAAGAAAAGAAATAGTCGAATAAACTCGTTATTTTTGTTTGTTTTTTCGCACAAAAAGTATTCGCGTCGCTTGATAAACATATAGTTGAGCCACGGTAGTCACTTGGGATATTTAAACATTTTCTTCATTGACTTTCTGGGCCGTCAAGAGGCAGTCCTTTAGGAGCCAATGTGGTAGTTATACAGCTCTCAAATTTAATCAAAAATATCTTTATTTGTGTTCCGAAGACGAACGAAGGTCTTACGGGGTTGGTACAGCATGGGGGAGAGTAATTAATGACTTAATTTTCATTTTTGGGTGAACTAACCCTTTAAGACATAACAGATAAAGTTTGCCTGAATACTCACCAAGACAGACAAAGAGTTGATGCCTTTAATATAAATTATGAGTCAGCTGCTCCCATTCAGAAAAAAACTCCTGTACGGTTGTCATGAAAGCGTTTGACAAAACATGTCCAAATGTGATTTTAGCTAACAAATTTGCAGATTTGGAGAAATATTGATAGATTCACATAGTTTTGCGTCAGATTTCTATAGAGAGAAATAATATTTATTGAATTTATACCCAAAATGCACTGATGTAATCATTATGAGCGCTGTTTACTTTGTTGTCTTTACTTTATCATTGTGCATTGTGCTGTGTTAAAGTTAATGAGATAATTAAGTGAATAATTGAGTGATGATTGAGCATGTTATTTTTTATTTTATTTATTTATTTAACAGGGACCATACAGTCAAACATAGTCACAATACAGAGCCTGTAACTGATGCGCAGCATATAGAGTTTATAGCTAATGCTAATTTACAACTCCTGTCCCTGGTTGGGCATTTCTAAATACATTATATAAAAATAAAAAAAAATACATACAAATATAAAACAATCCCATTTCTTCAAACACACACACACACACACACACACACACTGTCTCTTTCTCTCTCATACACACACAAACACACACATACTGTCTCTTTCTCTCTCACACATATGTAGGCTAGTTATAAACTCTTTAGACTTTTAATGATTATTGTTTTATTTTTAAAGTTTGTGGGTCGTGTAAAAAAACAAAAAAATCCCTTATTTTGGGGATGGATTCCGGGAAATCTCCCTTATTTTCAATGTTCAATGTTGACAGTTATGGACCGGATACGGTAAAAGTTTAATACATAAGCTTGCTCCGCTGAGTACGTCACCTTCTTCGTTGCTCTGATTGGTTATAGCGCCATCCAATTGCGTGCAGAGAGAATGTGAAAGGCAGCCGTTTATCCCGCCCCTCGGATTGAGCCCTGTCAATGATGAGTTTCCAGACCTAACATCTTGATGTAGGTCTGGCATGCCAGGCTACATCTCTCCATCATAAAGTGCTCCGCAGGCTCCGGAAGGTTAATAAAGGCCATCTGAAATGAAGCCATGAGTTTGTGTACGAAAAATATCTATATTTAACACGTTACTTCCGGCCAAACACAGTCTGCTTGTGTATAAAGCGCATTGTGACGTCAGGACTGTAGTGTGTCATGGCGTAGAGTAAATATGAGCAGTGTGTCGCATTACTCTCACTTTGTGTGTTCTCACTTTAGTGGAATCTAGATGTTCATTTGGCCGGAAGAGTTATTTTACTCCATAAAGTTGTAAATATAGATCATTATTCTTCTTCCACAAACTCATCACACTCACACTCGTGAACTACAGTACTCCTTTAATGCACAATGCCATGGTG